GTGTGTGTGTGTGTGTGGGTGTGTCTGGCTGCTTTAATGATTTAATGTCGCTTTTCATCTTTGACCACACGGCAAGTTGTTTTAAACATTAGCATGTAAATCAACACTTTTAGCCTCAATCAAACGCACACACACACTTTGTACAAGCAAAGAAAATGTAATGGCTTTATGATTTTGGTCCGGCGGAGCTTTAATGCCAATGACAGGCCTCTGAATTATAATTTCAGGGAGAAAGAGAAAGATAGAGCAGGGACAGAAAAACCACTGGCAAACAACACATGGGTGAAGGCAAAGGGCTGATCGAGCTATAGGGGAACAGAAAAGAGAGAGAGAGAAGGAGATGGAGAGATGGAAGGAGGAAGCGTTGCGGAGTGAGATTTCTAAAGCTTGATAGCATCATATATATAGAAGCATTTGTTAAAAAGTCATACAGACCAGAGCTAGAGGCTAATTACAAGTCACACAGGCCCACAAACATAAACACACAAATATGCACCAATATGCACAATGACTCAGCTGAAAGAAAGGATGAAAGGATCTATCAATATAACGACAATGATAGAGAGAGCTCAACAAAAATGAAACCTAAAATTAAATAATGTTTTTTTTGTAAAGTGTCAAGGAACAAATTGGAGCGGGTCAGAGGAAGGTCAGCCTTTCTTCTCTTGACCTCCTGATATACAGAAACTGAACTTAGACTCCAGCAGAGCCAGAGCAAGGTGAACATGATTTGTAGTGTAATGAATGTATATAATCAGAAATCATCAGTATAGAGTGGCAAATGTTTTCAGAAGTTTCGTTAGGAGCTGATACAGTGTATATACTATATGATGGAGGGAGGAGGTTCAGTCACTTCATAGGAAAACCAGTGTCATGCCAGGTCTGCCTTTTGTTTTCATATTTAACCTGGTTGAAAAGGTTTTGCACATTTGAGCACAGGGGGGAAAAGCTTCTTATTCTAACAGTTATTTTTCCCTTATTTTTCTACTGGATTAGATTTTGCAACCTTAAACTGTGGTTAGTGCAAATATATTTGGATATAAATGTATTCTGGAAAGATGGAAAAAGGGACTTTGTCAGCTAAAGAAAGTAAAGTAAAAGATGCATGACAAAGCATGTACAGCAAAGATGTTAAAAAATATAGCCACTAGAATACAGATGCTCACAACCACCAGTGTCTTCATGTGATGCATTTACATTTAATTTCAGTTTGCCTGAGGTTTTCCACACAAACCCACCACAGAACAACAAGCCCATGATCATCCCTGTGTCAATGTATGGCCTTGTCTGTGTAACACTCATCTGTCTCTTCTTCTTCTATTTCAATCACAAGTGTCAGACCCACAGCAATTCATCAGGATCAACACCTCTCTCAGGACATGGAAAAAAAATCTACTTACTAAAACACATGCATTTCTCTGAGGTCAGTGGAAATTACAATAGATAAGTGTATTGAATCCAGTAGTACTGTTTATATACTGACACTTGTTGGGGGAAGTGGGACAAAAGTAAATTAAAGTGGCTAACCATGGGAGCTAAGTAGACATAGCTACATTTACAAAATTTTACAAAAATCTTTTGTCTGCCTCTTGTGACTTTCTTCCGTGACAACTCCAAAGGGTGAAGCCAAAGCCTCTCAATCAATTTGTGTGGTAGGTGTCTGATCTGATGTTTGATGCAATAAACACAAGGTTACCCTTCATGATTGACAGCAGAGGCTGACTCACAGTTAGTGAACAGGTCCTAACTACCACGGCTCCCTCCCCTGATCACTGCTGCTCAGACCCTGGCTCCAAATGCGCAAGACGGCAACATGACCATCTCTATAGAAAGTCTATGCTTTTGTCTCTCTTCCTTGAACTCTCTCTACTCTTTCTATCCTCACTGTCCTGTCTGAGCTGTCAATCCTGTGATTGCATTTTGTTGTCTGAATGTTTGCTTTTCATAACCTGAGCCTTCTTCACGCCTGCTGTGCTTTGGTTTGGAGGCTGCACTTGCATCAACGTGTGGAAAACAGATGAAAAAGATGAAAACAACAAAACAAGTCCCAAAAAAGTAAATGGAGTTAAGCTTGACAGTTTTTCCTTCACTGTGTAAAACAGTAATTAGTCCAAACCGTCACTGCTGTTGTTTGACACGTTATAATAACAAGTCACGACAACGTCAGATGACCAGTCACATTTTCTGTGTTGTTCAGAGGACCTAAAAATAGCAGTAATGAAGAAGTAATGGCGAGGGCATGACAAAAACATGGATATTATTCTATTCTGCGGTGGTTTTTGGGGCGAGGACATGGGGCGGCAGCTGATGTGTTGGAGAGCTTATTCTGGCTACTTGATGTCATGCAGCAGATGAGCTGAGAAATCCTGCTGGATGAAGCTTTGAAGGAAGGAAGGAACCACAGAAGAGGAAACACACAAATGAGTGGAACTCCTCTCAGTTTGAGGTGACTGAGCAGCAGGGGAAGATGAAGGTAAGGTCAGGCCGCCACATTATTGGCTTCTGAATAATTAGACGTGTTTGTCAGATATGAAGGATTCTGACATGCTTACATGTCTTCCATATTTAAAGTAGAATCATTTTACTATTTCTGACAATGAGGTGTCAGCGGAGTCTGTGGCTGCTTGTGACTTGAGACCATATATAGACACGTCTCCACTTCCTCCCGTTATTCAGAAATTAAGCCAAAATATCCTGGATATAAACACCGCCATCTTGTACCCATGAGAGCATTGGAACCAGAGTCTGTAGTGATCGGGGATG